CCTGCAGGATGCCGGAGAGGCAGCTGGGAGACTGGCTACCTTTGTGTTCCCCCAGTTTGGGCAGGATGGATGTCCCACAGGGAGGACTGTGCCAGGTGGGTGATGGGGCTGGGGGATGGGACAAGGGCCACACAAGGAGAATCCCATCCTGAGATTCTGTCCTGGGCCAGGTCAGCCTATCCAGGCAGGTCAGGGACTCACAGTGAGGCACATTTTTATTCTGGCCCCTTGCCCAGGCCACGATCACTGCACACTTTGCCACTGCATGACCGGAAGTGGGCAGAGTGAGGGGTTGGGCCAGGTGGGCTCCAGGCTCCTCCTGGGGAGCTCTGCGTTAGCAAGTTCTCAGCAGTCATGCTGGGGCTCATTTATGCTTTTATAGTAGCTCAGAAGATGTTATCGCAGCTTGAGAACTGAAATTAAAATATGTATCCTTCAGGTGCAAATCTACTGTACTTACAGCTTTACTGTTTCTCTGCAGGGGGCCTCCATTAATCTTGAACCAGTGAAATTCCTAAGGAAATTAATTTCCTCTAGTTGGGGTTACTCTCAAATGGTCTTTGGGGTGGAGTAATTGGAATTTAAGAGTTTCTCTTAAAAAAGGGAAATGGCCATTTTACCTGAATAACACCACTCTTTAATGCCCCATTTTCTCATTCATTCCCTCCATACCCCTTTGTGTTTCTCAGCTTCTCTTGGCAGGATTTACAGGGACCCCTATCATGTGAAAGTTGGACTCCTAGTCTTTATTTAAGCTCACCAGGCATTCCTCTCCATGACAGCTTGTTGGTGCCCCCCTACCCCAATAGTACCTGCGTTGTACCCAGTGAGTAACAACACTCAGCCACCGGAATGAATTCTGCAGTAAATATTAGCTGTTGTTACACAGCAAAATAATTATCACACACACACACTCTCACCCCTCTTTAAAACATGGTCGATTTGCAGACATGAGAGCTCCTTTGATACCAGAAATTTCTGGACCTCAGCACCCCCACCTGGCTCCTCCCCCTCCCTACTGGGCATTGAACCAAAGGCCTTCACATTCAGCTATATCCCTAGCCTCTTTTTATTTTTTATTTTGAGATAGTCTTATCAAATCAGTAAGTTTCCTGGGCTGGACTCAAATTTAAGATCTTTCTGTCTCAGCCTCTCAGAGTGCTGGGATTACAAGTTTGCACCACCACACCCAGCAAAATCCTCCTTCTTGCCTTCCCCACTAGAGCTTCGGCTCTCCCAGGCTAGGACTTCAGCCCCCAGGGAAATAGCCCCTGCTCCTGTTCCCTATTCTCCAGGCCCCTAAAGTGCCACACAGCACTATTAGAGCAGCTTAATTGTCCCTTCTAAAGACCACTGGATCCTGTTGCTGTGCCAGGACAGCTATTCCTGACCCAGAAGGGCCAGGCAGCACTGAGGGTCTCCTGTGCAGAGGGTGCTTAAGGCCCAAGTGTCCTTTGGCTCCCAGATGGTTCTCCCACCCCAGAGAGAGAATAGAGCATGGATGAACACATGGGGCCATGAACCCGGTCAGCCTCAATCTCTTGCTCTCCTGTTTTTCAGCTTTTGGGTGCTAACCGGGCACAATGGAAAGCCAAGTCCAGGCTGCTCCGTGCTAGGCCAAAACCTGTGGCCTGTTGTGCGTGGAGATGGTCAGTGTTCCCTCCTGGGCCCTAATACACTCAGAGGGAGAGGACTGTGCTCTGCAGAGCAGCTGTGGGTAAGCAGAGCTTGAAGTGGGAAAGGGGAGTCCTAGTGCTGCCCTCCCTCAGGGGTCTGGGCAGCTTCCTTGTTATAAACTGCAGGGTAGGCAGCAAAGCTTTCACACCATCGCTCAAGGGAGCCTGATTAAGAAATATGGACACTGTACATGTGCTTTGGGAAGTCAGAAAGCACTACCCATCAGCATATATCTGTATACATCTGTAATTTGGGTGTGTCAGCTATGCAAAATGTGGCTAAGCAGCATTGTTGCTAAAGTCAGCATTTTTTTTTTCCTGAATCAGTTTTTTTTTTTTTTTTTTTGGTATTCAGGTATTCTACCACTGACCTACATCCGCAGATGTTTTTATATTTTGAGACAGGGTCACTCATCAATAAGTTGTCTGGGCTGGCCTTGAACTTGTGATTCTCTTGCTTCTGCCTCCGGTAGCTAGGGCATGTACCCAACCACGTCAGGCCAACCAGAAGTTGGAGCATTTTAAGACCAAGAAGTCATCTGCTGCCCCCTAGGCCAGTTAATATAAACAGTGATAACTGCAAGAAGGGCAGGAGGCCAAATCAGAACTGTTAGCCTGGAGTTTTTTGCTTTTTTTTAGCCTGGAGTTTTTGTAGCATCTTTCTTTAAGCAGGGAGCTTGCTCCACAACTGTTGCATGCTCTTTTCAGTTAATTCTATTCAGAGGAAAAACCAGGATTTATAAAGTTAGAGGGATTATTACTTCTTTTTTTTAGGGAAAAATTTTACTACAATGTATTTCCTCCATGCATTATAATTTCATTATTTGTAAGTTACAAAGGCAGTTCATGCTCTTTGAGAACATACAAATGATCCAAAAAGTGGATAACATGAAAAGTAAAAGGCCTCCTTTTAACTTTTCTGTTTTCACTCTTTGTGGGCAAGTTCTCCTAATACTTTGGGGAGCATCTTTCTGGAGATCTTTTTTCTATAATACATTCAGCTATGCAGTTATATGTTTTACTTACATATAATTTTATGCTTAAAAATGGTAATTGGAATAGAGATCCTTTTTACCACATGATTTCCCCATAATAGTCTCAGAGATTTTATTTTCAGTTTTTGTTTTCTATCAATTAGGCTTTGATTTAAAAATAATTGTAGAGAAAATTAAGAATGGATATATGTATGTGAGATGATAGGTTTGTTAGTTTGTAATCATCTCACAATGTATATCTCAAAGCATGTCGTACACTTAAATGTATATGATTTTGTCAATTTTACTCAAAAAAAGAAAAAATTATAGATTTACATGCAGTTGTTAAGAAGAAATGATACATAGTGGTCCCTTGTTCCAATACTCCAGTACACTATCACAACTAGGATGTTAATATTTGTGCATAATTCACCTTTTACATATTTTCCCAGTTTGACTTGTACTAGTGTATTTATGTTGTGGAAAAAAAATTTTTTTAGTGGTACCAGTGATTGAACCTAGGGCTGTTGCCCTAGCAACATCTCCAGCCTTTTTATTTTTTATTTTTACTCAGGGTTTTGCTAAGAGACTAGGTTGCCCAGGCTGGGTTAGTATTTAGGATCCTCTTGACTCCTGTAATTCCAGAGTGCTGGGATTACAAGTAACCATATTTAGTTTATTTCTATGCAATCTTGACTCATGTTTAGGTGCATGTTCCTTACTACCACAGCCAAGAAACAAAAGTTTCTTCTGCTGCATTTTGAATAATGTAACTTATTTTTGTAACATCTATTCTCAAGTGAAGCACACATGTAACAGGTCTCCTAAGGTCATTTTTAATCACTGGAGCAGTGCTGACAATAGGAAATATAAAGTGAGCCACAAAAGAGAGTTGCTGGTGTAATTACATTATACAATTTAAAATGTCCTATGTCCTAGTAACCAAAGGTAAAAAGAGGTAAATTTGATTTTAATAATATAGTTTCCAAACCCAAATATCCAAAATATTATAATTTCAACGTGAAACCAATATAAAATTATTAGTGATATGTTTCATCTTTTTTGTACAAAGTCTTTGAAGTCTGGTGAGCTCAGTCCTATATGAGCAGCTGCCACAAAGCATAGATCTGTGGCTGACTCTAGTGCAGGCATGGGATGAAGACACAGCCACTTCCTCCCTAGAATACAGCCTCTAGATGAGACAAGCATAATTTTAGGACCCGAATATATCCAGGCAGAAGCAAGCACAGGGTTCCCTGGGATAACCAGCCAGTAGGTAAGGCTGCCCAAGTGTCTAGGAGCCCAGCCAGAGCAGGAGGATCTCCAAGAGAAGCCTGAGTCCTGAGGGGAGTGATTGAGCTCAGCAAGATAGGAGTCACAGAGGAGAGGTGCTTTGGTAAGAAGGCCCGAGGTGGTGTGAGGACACCCTACAATATCCAGCCCTCTTCGCAAAGCAGCTGGATACTGGGCTCTGGGGAGCAAGGAAGGGTTCGGTTCTTCTGGTTGGAGGTTACCAGGGGGTTGAAAAAACTGGGGGCACAGAAGAAATTACCCAGGCCAGAGGGTTTGCGGAAAGCATGAAAAGAGGGGGTGCAGAGGACACCACTTGGAAAGTCACCATTAGGTCAAGGCCAGAAGGGAGCAAGGGAAGCCAGGGGAGGGCTGAGGTAGGAGGAGCTAGGAGTCCAGGAGGTCTGGATGGGACGGATGTCCAGGTCCTGGAAAGGCTTAGGCCCTGCTGCAACCAGGTTACAACCCCCGCTGGGCTGTCCCAAGGGATGACACTTATGGGCGATGGGTGGCACACAGCCGGCGTGGATTTTGGGTGCTCCCGGAAGGAACTGCAAACACCTTGCCGGTGGTGAGGCTCAGAGACTGCCACCATCTGTTCCCAGTCTCTCCTCTCCCCATCTTTATGCAGTTTCTTTTTCTTTCTTTCTTCTTTCCTTTTCATTTTTTTCCCCCCAGTACTGGTGATTGAATCCAGGGTTACTCTACCATTGAGCTACATCCCTAGACTTTTTTATTTTTTATTTTGACACGGAATCTCACAGTTGCCCAAGCTGGCGATCTTGCGCCACCATGCCCGGCTGCAGTTTCAGTTTTGTTAGATTTTAGTTTGCTAATCTGTACTCACACATCAGATACAAACACGTATCTTTTATAGGCTGTGAGATTGGCCCCTAAAGTACAGCAGCTGCAGGGAAGGTTCGGAGTCCCAGCAGCCAGACATGGGCAGCGAACGTTACCAGCTCTGACTGGGGTGAGTCGCGCCGCCTCAGCGATTCTGAGTGTCTGCAGCCAGGGTGCAGGCCGGGCGGGGGCGGGGGCGGGGGCGGGGGCGGGGATTCCACCGCGCAGCCGTCCTACACTCTACGCCCGCCCCATCGACCAACCCGCGCTCCACTGTTCCTGTCTGGCAACTGCAGCATGGCGGCGGGGGCTGCTGAGGCGCTGGCAACGGTGGTGGAGGTCGGCTCGGCCCAGCAGTTTGAGGAGCATCTGCGCCTCAAAGCCAAGTAAGCGGGCGGTGGCCGGCGTGAGGCCGGCGAGGGGGATGGAGGAGCGGCCCGGGCCTCGAGGTCAGGCTGGCGGGGCGCGGCCGGTGGCCGGGCCGGCTCGGCTCCTTGGCCCGGGGCTGGCCTGGGCCTCGGGGGACCCTCCCCGTACCGCCCCGCGGGTCTCCGGAGCCGGACCCAGGGTCGGAACGCGGCCGGCACCGGGCGGTGAGCAGTGTTAGAGGCAGCTCCGGACCGATCCCGTCGGCCTGGCTCTGGCGTCGCGACCACCCGGCGGTGACTCAGCTCCGCCCGGGCGCGGCTGGAGAGCCCCTGGCCCGAGGTGGGGCGCGCGGGCTTCAGCCTCTCCAGTCAACCTCGCTGCTAGGGGCCAGGCCTCAGCGCCTTCCTGTTAGGCCTTGCTGGGTGGAGAGCCACGGCCACCAGGAAAGGGGTTCTGTTTCCCTCTCGGAAACGAGCTTTAGGTTCTTGAGTCGTCCGCCGGTAGAGCCTCCGTCTTCTTCAGACTTAATCTGTTGTAGACAGGGCTTTCCTATTCGGAGAACTCGTGTAGTGAGCGTGTGCTCTGATGCGCACGTGCTTCTTGCCCTTGAGACGACTACAAAAGGAGATCCCTGTGAATGCACAGAGAACGATTTTGGCAGTGGGCGATAGAAGCTCTTAACTACATTAAGTGATTAAGGTATAAATGCAGGTCAGATGCGTGCAGGTATGCACGTGGACGTGCTATGTGTGATACTGCAACCTCAAGTGGAGTTCCTCACTGCAGAGTTTTCTTAGCTGTGCTGTTAGTGGTTAAGGTGAGAGGTCTAGTGTGGGATTGTCAAGTATCCAGTCCTAAGAGCAGCCACTTAAAACCATGTAAACCCTGGGTAAGTTTCAAAACAAAAGCTCAGAATGGATTACTGCCTACCTCTTTGAGGGTTCATTAAGATGATGCGGGTAAAGTGTTGCTATGCCTGGCTTGCAGCGGACAATACGAGTTGGCCCCTGGTATTTTTAGTAAGGAGCAGAGTGGACGGCGGGGGTGATGTGGGAGTTTACTGATTGACTTCTGCTTAGCTATGCAGCAGGAAGATGATCAAGTTAAAGTGTTAATTAAAACAGCCAGCTCGGAGGTAGAGCTTCCAGTAAGCACGCGTGAGGCCACCGGGTTCAATCTTCAGCCCTACAAAACGAACCCAGCTCTCTTTTGGCATTTCAGGTTTATCTAGGAAGTTGTTCTGTTTTTTTTGTAGGGCGGGATGACGTTTACTCACTGAGGGGGCTGGGTTCTAATTCATCCAACACTAATCCACACATCTTTAGGTAACACGATTATGGACAACAGAAGTGGTTTCATGAAATGTTCAGGACTTGTGTGGAGCTGCCCTTAATAAACTTTTTGAACTAGTCATCTTGAGAATTTTTTTTTTTGTTTTGTTTTTTGTTTTTTGCTTTTTTTGGTACCGGAGATCGAGCTCGGAACCTTGCACTTTCGAGGCAGGCTACCGGAACCACTGAGCTAAATCCCCGGCCCCTGAGAATTTTTTTGTGTGTGCTTCACATACTTCTTTTTAATCTTTATGTTTGGAACAGTACTTAATGAGTAAGAATTTAAATGCCATTTGGATATATTCTTGCGGCTGGTCTGCACTTGAGATAACCACACGGTGTACCCTTCCACAGTGGCTAGATTAAATGAGCACGTGGGAAATGAGAAGGCGAGACTCTCTGCTTTCTGTGAAAATAGAAGCATTTAAGAATCTTAAGTAGTACTAGTGTTAATGTAATTGTTTTAAATCTACTTTCCAAATCATTGCTTCTCAATTTTAAAATTTGATGAATTGGAATTTTTTCTTTGTCTAAGTCACTTAGTCAGATATACGTTAAAGTTACAGAAACCTCAGCTGGTCTATACATTGGAGATATTAATCTCTATTTGCAGAGTAATTGAGGCTTTATTTGTAAAGTACTTGAAAAGAGTCTAGTATATGATAGTGTTTATTAAATGGTAGTGTTATTTGCAGATGAAATACGTGGTGTAGCAGAGCACTGTAATAGAATAAATATTTATTGAGCACTAATTTTACCAATGGGGAACCAAAGCTCATTATGTAGTCTGAAATCACCTGAGTGAGGATTTCAACCTAGTCTTTGTCTTATGCTTTTCCTCAAACAATGCACTGGTCATATTGGGATGTCCATGAAAATGGAAAGAATGTTATTACATGTACTCCAAAAGAGGATGGCACCATTCATGCTTTTTAGATACATGTTCTTATAATATTGAGCATTGTATGCTTAATTGAAAAATGTAAGTTAAGCATCTAAAATGTGAATAGGGTGATAATTTAAAATAACTATTAATGTTACAGTTATACTTTGAAGCTGTCAAAGCACTTTTATGTTTTTGTTTGGTCTTTCCAACATACCAGGGTATTAGACATTACTGTTCACAGATGTGAAGTTTAGGGAACCTAAATTACTCTGCAGAGCCATGTTAGTGATCATGGGAGTTGAAACTTGAATCTAGCTCTATGTGCATGCTTTCCTCTTGTGTTTTGTCTTTTTGGGCTCTCATATTATTTCAAAGCCTGGTTACCTGTTTTGTTTTATTTATCTATTTTTGTAGTACTGGGGATTAACGCAGGGGTACTGTGCCATGGAGTAACATTCCCAACCCTTATTTTTTTTGAAATGGGGTCTTGTTAAATTGCCCAGGCTGGCCTTGAACTTGGGGTCCTCCTGCCTTAGCCTTCCAAGTAGCTGGGATTACAGGAATGCACTCTTATTTTAATTTTAGAAAATATAACCATACTGTGAACATTTCCCCATGCCATTAAAAATTCTTTGCTAATTTGATTTTAATGGCTTTATATTGTCAAAACCATTAACAAAACTGTCAGTCTTTCTTTCTTTTTTGTTTTTTTGGGGTTTTTTTTGAGACAGGGTCTCTCTATGTAGTTTGGGCTGGCCTTGAACTCACTATGTAGCTCAGGCTGGCCTCGAACTCATGGCAGTCCTCTTGCCTCAGGCTCTCAAGTACTCGATTACAGGTGTGCACCACCATGCCTGGCCAACAAAACTATATTATTGAACACTAGATTTTTCCGGTTATTTTCTGTCTAAAGTAAATTTTTTCATTACTTTGTATGATAGATAACTGTATATATGTGTTAAATTTCTGAAAGGTTTCAGTTTTTGTCTATAGTACATGAAAGTGCTTCTCTCATCCTTTTTATTTTTGAATATTATGATTTTAAAAATCCTTTGTCAATTTGGTGAAAAGTGGTATTTCAGCTTTGACAATTAGAGGTTATTATATCTAGCAATAAAGTGCACAAATCTTGATTGTCAGATGAATTGTATACACATAAATGTATACACATAAGTAACCATCATTTAAAATAAGAAAATAGAGCCCGGGGAGATTCCTTTACCTCTTTCTGTAGCCACTGATCTGCTTTCTGTTACTATAGATTAGTTTTCCATGTTTTTGAACTTTATATGGATAGAATCATACATTTCTTGTCCTCCCTTATTGGTTCATTTTTATTTAAGGAATTTCCATTTTGTGATTCCTTCTTTTAAAGCTTGGGTCATGATATATCTCAAGGTAACCTTTCCACATTTAGCTTCTTTTATCTCTGAATTATGGACATTCTGACAACAACTTCAAAATTCCCCATTAATTATACTTGGCATCTACTTTCTTAAAGTATTTTACTTTAGGGTCATTTTTAGGTGGATCTGTCTGTTTCCCAATTTCTGACACCCCCCTCTAAACATGAATGAGTTACATCATGTTTTTAGATGGTCACACTCAAGGATAGTACAGCTTTGTGGGATATTCTAACTCTAGACATGTTCTCAAGATAGAAGCCTTTTTTAAAAAGGAAGGTCATCTTAATGTATCATGTCAACATGAAAATTATACTAAATCAGTATAGCTGATATTTTCCTCAAAGGAAGCTTTTTAATTATCAACTGTTTGGTTTGAAATTAACCTTTATGGTTGTTAAAATCCTCATCATTTAAAACTGCCTTAGGTATTATATTCTTCTGTGTTTCAAAACGCATACCGAACAATGTTCTGGGTTGCAGAAGAGGATTTATTTTTTATGTTTGTCTAGTTCTTTTATGTATGGCATGTTAGGCTCAGTAGGTTTTCAAGATTTGTCTGTGTTGTGTGTATCTGTTGTGAATTCCTTTTTATTACTAAGGTGTGCTTCATTATATGAGTGTGAAACTTTTTCCCATGGGTGGGCTTTTTGTTATGAGTTAGGCTACTGTGGACCTTTATACCTGAAAGAAGATGATTCTAGGTAGCATCTGCCTGAGGGCCCTCCTCTCCCATAGTTGGTCATTATGCTACTCATACTAAGGTAGCCTTACCTAGTCTTCCTTGGCTCCTGACAGAGAGGACACTGCCCCTCTCTGCTCTAGATTCCTCTCTCCTGCCACCTTGGAAGCTTTGCATCCTTAGCTTTCTCTTGGGTCTTCAGCCTCTTCCTCTCCATTTGCACTGTCCCTGTACCAAATAGGTATATGGAGAGTTCCTTGGATTTAAAAAAAAGCCCATCTCTTGATCTGTCATTCTTTTCTTCAGGTAGATTTCTAGTACAGGTTTCTTCAAGTAGATTTCTAGCAGTCTGTACTTCCTCATCTTTAGTTCACTCCTATATGCTGCAGTCTGACACATGCTTCCACTAGCCTTAACATCATTTTCCTTAGTGTTGCCCTTTCTTGTTGCATTTAATGATCATCACTCCTTCCTTCTTGACACTATTCTCTTGACTTCTGTGAGAATCTTGGCTTCTTTGTGTATGGAACTGGGGATTGAGCTACATACATGGAGCCCCAGCCTTTTTAAATTTTTTATTTTGAGATGCAGTCTTGCTAAGTCACTAAGTTGCCCTGGCTGGGCTTGACTCAGGCTCCCAGAGTGTTGGGATTATAAGCATGTACTACCAAGCCTGGCTCTGTTTGATGCTTTTGATGCCTTAACCTTCCTATTCTTGTTAGACTCTCTTCTGTCTTCCTCCTCCCTCTGACCTACTTCATGTTGATGAGCCCCTAAAACAATGGTGGTGAACCTTTGGCACCCATGTTATTATTGTATTTTCTTTTAAGACAAAAGATGTTAATGTATGAGTTGTTTTTTCTAAGCTAAAACCTCAGTACTCAGGTTTAATTGCAATAGTAGCACTTTTCGATAAATAAGTGGCTTTTGGGTTGCAGTTTGGGCTCTCTGTCTCTCACAGGTTCTCTATCACTGCTCTAAGGTACTGACCCCAGATCTCTTCTGTCCTCTCTGCAACATGTAAGGCCCTGTATTTCTTGATACTTAGATCTGTAGACCAAGCATAGACACCTTCCCTAAGCTGTAGCCATCAGATTCATACTAATAGCCCACTAGATTTCTTGTCCTCCCAGGTTGACAGCTTTTGTGCTAGGATTCCAGAGTAGTGCCACCACTAACTACTGATCTCTGAGCCAGAACATGGACTCAGCTTTAGACTATGCCTCCTCTGTCACCAATTCCTGACCCTTCTGTCTCTGAATCTCTTCTCAGGTTGCTCTGCTCTCACATTCCTGACATTTTATTGTGGGCTCACTCTTCTCACCTGCTTTATTTTATTGGCTTTTAAAGTTTGTTACTGCTTTCCTTGCCTTCAGTTAGTTGTCCATGTTCTTCCCTCGATGGAACATTTTTTTTTTCTGATTTTTTTTGGAAGGGATTATATTGAACTTAGAATCTTGTAAAACTGGATTGATTTTCTGAGATGTCTAGAATTTAGTCAACAGTTTATTAGTCTATTATTCTGTTTGTTCATACTATAAATGTTTTAAAAATCATTTGTGGTATAATATGAAAAGTTAAAAAACAAATGTCTTTGTGAAAAGCAGTTCCTTTTTTTCTTTGTTTTCTGCTGGTGCCTTCACTTTCATCCTTTTTCCCCTCTTCATTTTCAGTGTTTTATTGGTATTCCTTTGGTCACAATTATGCCCCTTCATCACATACCATGTTTAAAAAGTAAATGCTTACATTAATAGTAGCAGTGTGTCTAGCAACATTGTGCCTCTGATACAGTAATTTAGTTTTCACTTTCCTCAAAGGTCTGAAAATATAGTTGGTGTACATGTATATTACTTTGGATGGATATTCAGAATCATTATTCATGAGCTAAATCAACTCAAGAAATACGATTAACTTAAATTCATTCTGAAGAGTCCCAAGATTGCGCAGTGATTTTGTGTTTCAGGCTGCTAAAACAGCAGAATTTCTAGCACAAAATAGTTCAATTCTTGTAAAGGTTTTGTTGGTAGTAGAATTTAATCTGTTTTCTTTATTTCCAAAGTTAGTCCTTTAAAAAAATGCATTTTGTTGATTTACAGGTCCCTCCTTGTGGTCCATTTCTGGGCACCATGGGCTCCACAGTGTGTGCAAATGAACGATGTAATGGCCGAGTTAGCTAAAGAACACCCTCAAGTTTCATTTGTGAAGGTATATTTTCAGTGTTACATGTTTTATGCATTTCTGATTTAGACTAGATTTTGTTAACTAATGTAAAGGAGTGAAGTAGAATTCCACATATTTATACTTGATGTTGGGATCTGTTATTTTTACATTATTCTTAAAAAATCTTAACTAATTTTGTAATTTTCAGATAGTATGAAAATCATACTTTCCTTAACATATACGTGGATGGGAAATACTGAGATGGGCAAAGGGCAGATGTGTTTGAGAGCAAAAGCAGACTACATAATTCACTATGGGTAATTGTGGATTTGGGACAGGTAAAGTATTAATAAGACTTACTTCATTGAAAAGCTGGGTATAATGTAGAAAATGGTTCTAAAAGGGATTTGTACAAGCTGCTAGATACTAGAGGGAAAGGAAGGCGTTGCCATTGTGGACTGGGTAAATCCAAACCTATGGGAGAAATTGAAGATCTTTCTAACCTGTTTAGGATGCAAAGGAAAAGGGAAGCCTGAAAATCTTTTCTTTTGAATTGAACCCAGGGCCATATGCATGCTGTGCACATCCCTTATCATTGGGCTACATCCTCAGCCCCTTCCTTTTTTACTTGGTTTGCATACTTATATATTCCTGGTGTCTCTTGAGTGGACAGGTACTGGGAAAGTGATGGATATGACTGTGGGGTTAGCTCACCTTGATGTAGCACATTTAGTATTATCATTCAGGACTTAGTATAGTGTTACCTCAGTACTCATCATTAGTTGGTTCCAGGAGATGTGTGGCAAGTTTTCCAAAGGACAAGTACCAAACAGATTGTTTTGGCTGGAAAAGATAGTTATTCACAAGGCAATCGACACCAACAAATTCTGACTTGTTTATGGAGTACCAAACAAATGGCCAGTTCAGGGACAAAATTTTCATGTCGAAATGCATTAAGTACCAAATTCAAGGTTCAAATCAGTTAAGTACCAAGGTTTAAGCATCAAGGCTAAAATATGGGTTGAGAGGGCTGGGGATTTAGCTCAGTGGCACCACGCCTGCCTCACAAGTGCAAGGTCCTGAGGTCCCAAGTTTGATCCTTGGTACCGCAAAAAAAAAAAGTAAAATATGAGTTGAGAATAATGAATTATTCAGAAAGGAGATGCATCTGATATTCAGAAGTCTGAATCCTGTGATTTAAAACCAACGAAAAACAAAGCCTTGCTTTTTAAAACCAGAATTTCTGAGTTAAGAGTACATGTTGACAAGTATTCTTGTCATGGGATTACATACATGCCATAAGTATACTTGTATGTAGGGTTAAAAATGATATGAATTATTTGTGTGGTTGCTTTTTATGTACTCACTGGAAAGCACAGAATTCTGAAAGGCTAATTCATTTGTATAGTAGGTGATAAATTTTTTTTCCTTAAATTCTTTTATTGGTACATTTTAGGTATACAATACGTTTACATTTATCATTGGGTGCTTGTACCTGTACATGTCATATCTTGGTTCTTATTTTTTTCCCCATTACCTGTGCACCCTTCACCCCCTCACCCTTGCCTATTTACATAGATTTCGTTTCCATTTTTTTTCTTTTCTCATAATTTTTCCTTTCCCTTTCCTTTCCCCTTCCCCCTACACCATTGGACCTTTTCCTATTTCAAATTATCAGTTATTTGTTTTAATTATTTTAATCCTTATTTACATTTTCATTTTCTCACACTAAAGAAACTATTTGGTATTTACACGTATGTGTCTTGTTTATTTCACTTAAGAGTAGCTCCTCAATATGCATCCATTTAGCAATAAATGTCTCTAGTTTCTTGTTCTTTATGGTTGAGTAGTACTCCATTTTATTAAAAAACCACGTCTTCTTTACAGGGGATCGAACTCGGGTCCTTGCGCTTGCGCACCAGGTGGCAAAACCACTGAGCTAAATCCCCGGCCCAAAACCACATCTTCTTTATCCAAGTTCCAGTTGATGGGCACTTGGGCTGTTTCCAAGCTTTAGCTATTAAAAACTGTGCTGCTATAAACATGAATGCTCATATATCGCTGTGGTATGATTCTTTTAATTCTTTTGGGAAGATACCCAGCAGGGGAATAGCTGGGTCAAATGAGACCTGTAGCCCTAGTTCTTTGAGGTATCCCCATACTGATTTCCACAGTGGTTGCACCAGTCTTCACTCCCACCAACAATGGAGAAGGGTTCCTTTCTCCCCACACCCCAGCCAGCATTTGTTATGGGTTGATTTCTTGAGAGCAGCCATTCTTTCTGGGGTGAGGTGGAATCTCAGCATTGTTTTCATCTGCATCTCTCGAATGTCCAGTGATGTGAACATTTTTTCATATGTTTATTTGCCATTTCTACTTCTTTGTCTGAGAAATGTCTGTTCATTTTAGATGCCCATTTTTGAATTGGGTCTTTGAATTTGGGAGGGTCTGATTTTTTTCAGTTCTTTATATATCTAGATAGTAGTCCTCTGTCTGAGGTGCAGCTGCTAAAATTTTTTTCCCACATTGTAGGTTGTCTCTTAGCTCTGTTGGTGGTTTCTCTTGCAGTGCAGAAGCTTTTTAATAAGATGAGATCCCAGTTGTTGATTCTTTGTGCTAGTTCCTGTGCTACTGAGGTTTTGCTCATAAAGTCTTTTCCTGATAAATTTTTTAAAAACAGCTTCTGTATAGAGGTTTATTTCGAGTAGGCATTATACTTTGATAGCTCAAATCCAAACAATGTAGAAGGGTACATATAGAAAGGGCTCACTTCACTCCTTCCCTGCCAACCCTGTTGTCTTTTCCCATACATAATTACCTACATTAATTATGTATGAATCTTTTCGGTGTTTTACTTTTATGCAGACAGAGCAAATATTAATAGTTAGCTTTTTAAAATTTAAGGACTTATTTAAGATTCTAATGAAATGTAATGTAACCTTAGATTGTAACCCTAAAATGTCCAATATAAATAATAGAAGGGGACATTAAAGCTGCATGTTTGGTCAGTGATAAAAGATAATGATTACAAGTGAAATGAATGATTAAACATTTCAATCATAAGATTAATCAAGGGGATGGTAATTGTGTGAAGTCTGCTTTATATGTATAATGTTACTGGTTTAGGTAACACATTGTTCTCAGCTGCATCTGAATGATTTATTTAAAGTGACTATAGAATTACTGCTCACATTGGTACCAGACTTGGCAGTGAGATTTTAAGTTGTTCAAGTGCTTAAGTGTCTTAGTGAGCCAAGGATTGGAAACCCTCAGTATTGTCGGGGATACTTGAGCCTGACTGCACCTGCTGTTCATGGGGATGGCAGCCTTGCTAGATTGGTTATTCTTCCAGGAGTCATCACTTCCCAGAAATTCATTCTATATTTCATTAGACATCATCAAAGGAAAAAATTTGCATGAAACTTGTAAGACAGACAATCAAAAGTGATTTTGCAAACTGGAGAGGAAATGAGTAAAATATTTGAGAAATCATTGGCCTTTTCCAGTAAGAGAACCATGCAGTTCATTTGAAAACAGTTTGCTTTTGTATGAGGGCATGTAGATACATACAGTATAAGACTAATGTCCTACTATCCCTACCTGTGATTTTTTTTTTTTTTTTTTTTTAAGACAAAGTCTTGGTGTGTTGCAGCACAGCAAGTCCAAGTCTAATCCTTGGACTTAAGTGAGCCTTTATCCTCTCAAATAGCTGAGACTACAGACATGTGCTACCATGCCCATCTCCCCTAGTTATATCTTTTAATTTGATTCTTTTTGAATGATGCAATAGTTTGTCGTGATTGACTTGTGAAGTAAAGGGTTTAAATTTTGTGACTTGGGGTTCACAAAGTCATTCAAATAAGTGATCTTAAAGTATTTTAAACAAATTGTAAGGTGTTGTGACTACCAACAATCTTATATTGTAGGATATGATAAAATACCAGCTTAGAAAAGTTAATCACACATTTTTGGTCAGTTAATTTGTGCTCCTTGGAATTGCATAAAGGCAAGACATTTTTTTTTTGGTACTGGGATTGAACTCGGGATCTTGTGCTTGCAAGGCAAGCGGCGGAACCTCTGAGCTAAATCCCCAGCCCATGGCAAGACTTTTTACAATGGTCAAATTCAATGGTTAGGTTCAATGTTGATCTTATGGGGAAATTTGATTCTGTTCTTGTCCAATATAGTGTGTGACCAGAATTGTGGAAAGAAGTTTGGAATCAAGGTACCACTGTACTTAGGCCCCTGCAGAGGCTTGCCTGCTTCCAAGGGATTAGAAGACATAGATGAATTGATTTTGTTGCTAAAAGTTGTATAGAAGCCTGGCATGGTGGTGCATACCTGTGATCCTAGCACTTGGGAGGCTGAGGCAGGAAGATTGCAAGTTCTAGCCCAGGCTGGGTAATTTAGTGAATTATTGAGACCCTTTTAAAAAAATACGATATAATACAATGCAGTACAATACAATACAAGGACTGGGAGTATAGCTCAGTGCAGAGGCCTGGGTTCAATCCCCAGTGCCACCAAAGGAAAAAAAAAAGAAACCGTACAGTGATCCAGAAAAAATTAAATAGCTAATTAAAATATCAAGTGCTTTTTCTTTTCAAATAATGTAATCCATTATTAGTACTTTACTTAAACCGGGAATACACATCTGTCATTTAATTATTCGATAGAATCTTTCAGAATATGGTGTCTGGTAGAGGAGATGGGAAGAAGGAAAACCATCAGTATATGGGTTTGTCCTTGATGAAAAAGTTGAGTACCAGTGGGTGTATCTGAGGAACAAATCAGATCCATTCTGTATTAAGTCTGTCTTTTTTTTATGCCGTCCTCATTTATGTACTTCAGTACTAAAATTCTCAGACTTATAAGCCAGCTGGCTGGTGAGATTTCATACTATTGTGTGTCCAGTGTTAATTTTGTTTGTATAGTACCTGCTGTACTGTCTTATGTCTATTGTAATTTATAATAAAAGCTTAAGGGTGAAGATGATCTATATACTTAAAGTTATATTTTTTGCTTCTTAGAAAATGGGACTCTTAGTTTATTATTTTGAAATAGGCAACCATGTTAAAAGATACAGTTCATGCTGTTTAATTTTTTTATTTAGTAATTCAACTAATGTTTATTTGTTGTACGCTCAGTATAAGATAGGCATTTGGTTTTATTTTTATTTGTACATGTTTGCAGTACTTAATGTTTACATTCCTTGTGGGGAGTTAGTATATGTACATAACACATCTTAATTCTTCTTTCATTCCCTTCCCCTGTTCTTCCCCCCTCCATCTGCTGATCCCCATTTGAGAAAGCTTTCCCTACTTCATATTATTTATCTTTTATTTTGCTCTTTCTTTATATTTTGAGACCATAAATTTGGACACACCTGCTGTTTAATTTCTAAATGTCTCTATAATCACTCTGTGTAAAGTGTGTCTAGTGACAGTACCTGTTATTATGAAATTTAAATGAGTCAGTACGTGCTACAGTGGAAACAGTGTGGCCTAGAGTAAATTGCAGCTGGGAGCCATTACTGTCATGCCAGTCTTTGATGACCTTGCTAAATTGAAGTAGAGAGAATCCCCACCTCTGGATTTACCATAGTCCTCCTCCTGTCTCTCATTCCTTTTCACAGACACGTGCATGCTGTGTAGTAACCATCTAGAATTTAAGATTCTTTATTTTTTTTCGTACCGGGGATCCAACTCCGGACCTTTTGCTTGTCAGGCAGGCACAGCACCATTGAGCTAAATCCCCCGCTCTAGAATTTAAGATTCTTGAGTTTCTACCAGAAGCATTCTGTGTGTATTCCATTCTGAAAATGTTCATGTTTGGTTGGTTCTGAGGACATGTATAAATCCAGTCCTTAAAATGTACTCTTTCGTTTTGATTATAGTAGTAGAAAAAGGACAGTTTTGTAGTCAAACAAGCTTAGTTTCTTTCTCAGCTCTGGGACGTCTTAACTGTGTGTCTTTTAACACTTGCAGTGTTAATCAGCCAATGAGATATATAGGAAGAGGTATAGCTGTGTGAAGGGGATTTACTATGGAAATCAGCTCACCTGATTATGGAGACTGAAAAGCCCTGCCATCTGCTCTCTCTAAGCTGGAGAAGCAGGGAAGCTGGTGGAATCTTACAGTCCAACTCTGGAAGCCTGAGGACCAAGGAGCTGATGGTGTAACTCATGGTCTGAGGCCAAACCCTGACAACCAGAGGGGACACTGGTGCAGGTACTAGAGTCTCAGGGATGGAGAATCTGGAATTCTGACCTCCAAGGGCAGGAGAAGATGGGTGTCACAGCTTCAGAGGAAAGAATGTGATTTGCCGTTCCTTTGCTTTTTTGTTCTATTGGGGGCCTTACGCTATTGGAGAGTGCTTACCCACATTGGTGAGAGTGGATTTTCCTTACTTAGCCCACTGATTCAAATGCTAATTTCTTCTGGAAATACTCTTGCAGACATGCCCAGAAATAACGCTTTACCACCTATCTAGGTAACACTTAACCAGTCAAGTTGAAGCCTAAATTTCACCTACTTTTTACTTTCCCACTTACAAAATTGAAATAATGCTGTGCTATGTATCTTTCAAAGTTCTGAGTAGGCAAGACAGTTTTACAAAAGGACCTACCATGGTTTAGAGTAGTTTTTTGTAGCTGTTGTTGATCATCTTTGTGAATGCTGACCATTTAAAAATAATTTATTTTTATTGCTAAAACTGTTAATGCTGTTTTTAGTTCACTGTTTCCAAAGAATTTTAGTGCTGCAAAGGTGTTGGGTTTTTTGTTTTGTTTTGAGTGGTGGTGCTGGGAATTGAACCCAGGGCCTCATGCATGCTAGGTGAATACGCTACCACTGAGCTACATCCCCAGCCCTGCATAGGCCTAAGACTTCACACACATTTGATGTTCTGGATTCTGGAGATCTTTAGGCCTTTAATGTTAATCCTATCCCTTGTTGTAGAGAATTTGTTACCGTTGCCTTTGTTTTAGAAAGATCTCTTCTGGGAGCTGATTTGAGGGGAGGCACTTGTGATTTTTGACTTCATCAGAAATTGCAAGTTATTTGTTTCCAAGAAGAGTTGTGTATAAGGGACGCTTTTGGAAACCACGAGGAATATGAGAAGAGATGAGATTTAAAAAGCATATAGGAATTTCTTTGTATGCGTGAGGATGCTAGCTGTTCTGTGCTGATTTAAGACCATTGTTGCCTTGTTTCTACTTTATTGCCTGATTTTGGATTTGTATTACTTTTCTGTTAGAATCCAGCAGTGCTAAAGGAAGGGATTTTTACTGAGCCTAGAACAAAACCCAGCATGTAGATGTTAGTTGAAAAGAAAGAAAATAATGAGCTGGAGGGTGACATTGTGGGCTTGTTCTTTTCATAAGCTTTAATGGTTACCTTTGGTCTCGAGTATGGAATTGTGTATGTGAAAGAAAATAGCACAAACATTTCTAAAACTTTAGAAGTTGCTTCTAAATAGTTGTGTCAAAATGCTTTTTTTATTTGCCCCTTTTTCAGATTATTGGACAGTTGATGTTAATTTATACTTTATAGAATTTCAGATACATTTTAAAAGATGGAAATAATTAAAAGCATTATTGCAAAAATAGTTCTCTAAAGAAAAAAAAAGCAAGGTGGTAAAACAGTGCCTAAAAATATGTAAGGTGGAAGATACAAACCAAAGACAAATGACTGCCTCCCATTGTATTGTCAAGCTTAATTCTGATAGATATAACCTGACTGGGTAAGGCTCTGGTAAAAATGATATTTCAAGCCCAGTGGAAATCTTTCACTCTTGGAAAATTCAGCATATATATTTTAAGCACTTTTAACAATATAATTTATCAATAAGTTTTATTTCCTATAGGTATAATGTGAATACAGATTTTTATTGGTTTCAAAAAGTTTTTATTAAATTGATGGTCCTATGAGAGAAAAATATAATAAATCTTGGTTTTCTCAAAGCATATTGTTTATAAGCTACATAAATACCTTATAGTAATTATGTCCTAATTATGTAGAAATTGTGTTTCTAAATATGTTTTAAATCCATGTGTCAGATAGCACCTCATAACCCATTGAGGATCTCAAGGAAAGTATCAGACAGAACACAGTCCTCTTAAAATGAATTTACATGTACGAATGGGCCTGAAAGCAGAAATCCTGGCAAGATAGCTGTTTAGTGTCTGGCAGTCTTGCAGGAGTTAAAAGTAAAATTTTTCAGACATCAATAGTTTATTGAAGAAATACTCCTTTTTGCTTCATAATTTGCAGAAGGCTGCAACTGTCAGTCATGATGTACTGCCTCTTGAAATTAGTCAATAGAGCAAACAGCAAGAATTGCTGTGGGCAGAAAATAAGCACTGTAATCATGACATAACTGGGGTCAGTGATTTATGGATTTCAATATAGTAGTAGCTGCATATGATTGAAAATTTACTAGGTCACTAGTGCACCAAAAATTTTATTCACAGCCTCCAGGCATCTTTTGAAATGTGCAACAAAATAAAAACCTCTGAACCTGTTTTGACACTGCAGACTCCATGGATGACATGCCAGCCCAGTGAGTCTCATTTAAATGTAAATGTGTCATAAACTTTTGTGCTGTGCTCTTTAAAGATACTAGCTACTTGAAAGGATAATGCATGTAAAACTGATTAACATATTGAAATAGTTAAAATGAACTTTATAATAATCAAGCTTCAATTCTTCTATTTTAAAGTTGGAAGCTGAAGCGGTTCCTGAAATATCTGAAAAATATGAAATTAGTTCTGTTCCCACCTTTCTGTTTTTCAAGGTAAGAATAGAGGCGGTACAAGAGTCCAGCCACCTCTAGAGAGCCTGTTTTATTTCCTTTGTCGTCTTTTCCTAATTCCTGAACATGAGTCACTTGGTTGTTTTGGCCTTGTACGTTTTGTTCTTCCCTCCCCCCACCTCCTGTTTTTGTGGTTCTGGAGATTGAACCTAGGGCTTTTGCATTGAGCTATATCCCTAGCTCTTTTTTAAAAAAATTTGAGACCAGGTCTCACTAAATTGTGTAAGTTGGGCTTGAATTTGGCAGTACTGCTTCAGCCTCTTAGAGTGCTAGGATTGATTATAGGCATGTGTTACCATGTCTGGCCTTTTTTTCTGACAGTCTTGTGTTTTGCACTAATGCTGATGAGGAGGACCATGTCCATTGTTTCCTGTGGATATTGAAGGACCAGCAGCTAGATTTGGAACTTCTTGACAAAAATCAAGACCCATGACTGTAGATCCCCGTGTTCCCTAAGTTAGATCAGAAGTTTTTTGTTTAAGGCATGTGCCTGGACATTATGAAACATCTGGCTGGTTCTGGTTTGATTAATGACTCATTTAGCAAGCCAGTGCAAATCTATGCTTCAAGGCATCCATAGGTGTTACCATAGTTCTCCAGATTCCTCATTTACATTCCATAACAGATTCATCCCTGCTAGTGTGGGGGAAATCCTTTTTGTTTTAGGTTAGACTCTCATCTAGGTTGACTGTGAGATTATTGCAGTGTCTTTCTAATATGTTCTCAAGAGAAGAAAAAAGGAAATCATGTATTTCTAAAATGAGATGCAATGCAGATAATTGCATTAGTTTTTTCTACTTCTCCAGTAACAGTATTGACTCCTTTAAAAATTGACTAGACCTATGTACTTTTTACAGTTTTAGAGTCCATAATACAGAGATTATGAAGGAATGCCACATGTATTCTAAATAACATTTTGAACTTCAGAATTCTCAGAAAATCGACCGATTAGATGGTGCACATGCCCCAGAGTTGACCAAAAAAGTTCAGCGACATGCTTCTAGTGGCTCCTTCCCACCCAGTGCTAATGAGCATCTTAAAGAAGATCTTAACCTTCGCCTGAAGAAGTTAATACATGCTGCCCCCTGCATGTTGTTCATGAAAGGAACTCCTCAAGAACCACGCTGTGGTAAGAAGCTACTCTTGAGATAATGTCAACTGAATTGGGTACTCTGCCAGTACAGGGTGCACTTGAGATGGGCTTACCCCTTCCACCCTGTCTTGTGCTTCTAATTGAGGATCTTTGTTTTATATACAACTTTTCAGACTCAAAGATAGGAAGGCTACTTATCCAAAGTCATCTGGTAGCAGAGTTGGGGTTGGGTTCCAGCTATCATATTGCTGTCTCTGTCAATGGGCTTTTTGCCCATGCAGTTTTGCTCTTAAAATTTTTCTTTTTTGGTAGCCTCCTTTTCTTCACCTTGTTCAGATTCAGTAAATTAAAAATTTGTAGAATTTTCCTAGTATTCTTGTGCCTACCCTCTGTACTTTTGCTTTCCCTGTTACCATTGTCTAATGATTGCATTATACACTCATTGCTGTCATTTCCAATTTATAGCTTCTAGTAATTTAGAGGTTCCAGATTCTTGGGTTATAGTTATCCTTATTTTCTGTATACATGGATGTTTGTAATTTTGTCTTTAAGTAAGTTTTAGAGTTATTTGACCCCTCTGGTATTGGGTTTATGTTGTTTTCTTTTTACTGTTCCTAGTGCAACATTATCATGCTGCATAATTGAGCGTTTATGCTTTTTGATGATACTATTGAGACTAAGAGTATTTGTTTCAACTACACAGGAGGGAGTTTATTAAGATAGGTGGCAATAAAATTGAGTATGCTATTGATATGATTACTACATGTCCAGTGTGGCTTTATAAAAATAGCCAAGCTTCCAATATAAATTTAATTCTAAATATTTCCCTGTGTGGTTATGAAATTACATATTAAATTATGAAAAAGTCTACCTGTAGTAATAAAGTTTCATGATAAAAATCTATCTTAAAAGATGAAGAAATGACTCCTTTATTTCTTAATTCTGCCTGAAAAATTTCCTGGCCAGTATCTTCCGTGTCAGATAATGCCTACTACTTACGATTTGCAAGGCTGACCTAATGTAGCAACACGCAGTCCAGATAGCTGTGTGTGTGTGTGTGTGTGTGTGTGTGTGTGATTTTGAAATTAATGAGGGTTACAAGCGTTTCAAATTCATCCTCTATTAGGCATGAAAATTGTTTTTGGTGCTTTATGGAGTGGCCTAATACTGTCATTACAGTCTGTAGTATTACAGTAGAACTGGCTGTAAAATGTGAATGAACCTGTATGGAAGGTTATACATAGCTAACCCTTAGTAAATGGAATACAACATTCTCCTTTTTGGGATCTAAGAACCATGTTGTCTTTTTCTAAATGATAACCCAGTCAAATTGGCAAGTAACAAAATTGAGTCTTGAGGAAGGGATACTTAGACGGCAAAGGAGGAAGGTGTGCTGAAAAGCATGGTAGATGAGATGTCATGTGAGTGAGCTTCAGCCTGAGTGTGCGGCCAGTCTCTGCTCAGTGACTGTGGGTACAATTCAGGTGCCTCCTTGTGGCTTTAGTTCCTTCTCGGTGTCTTGGGTGGAGGTAGATTTGGAGGACCTTTTTAGTGCAAATGTATGATTATTTAAGGAAATTAAAGGTAAACTTAGAAATAGTCATTTTTGTTACTTCTTTATTAAACTGAATTTATGCTGTATTTCTAGCCATTTTTATATTAACTGAGTGACATTTAGAAGACTATACAAATAATGAAGACTAAAAAAGCTTTAAGACGTTTCAGAGCAATCTGAAGAACATGGTGTTAGACATTTAGATAATAAAAGAAATATTTAGGGAATAAGAAAGATTTTTAAATAGATATGATCTAATAGTACAGTTTACTCATTTTATTCTTTGTAACTTTTATAACTATTCCTAATAAGCTTTTGTTATGTTACTTGGTATTTTGTTTTCTGTTAAACATGACTTCCTACCTAGAATATAGAATAAAGAGCAGAGAGATCATTTTAGGGTATTGATATCTTTAATAAAATATCTACTTAGGTAGGATCAATTGGAAAGTATTTTCATTGAGACCTGTGCCCTGCCACTTCCCTGGTTCTGCTCTGATTCTGTTTTCCCTTTCTTTCTGTGTGCACTATTGTACAGACTGTCTTGATCTTTAAGCTGCTTTCTTCTGGGAACATAAGTGATTTTCACCCTTTGCCATTCCTTTCTAAGCCTGCTCTATTGGCACTTCAGAGAAGAGGTATAGCGAGTCCCCTTTTATAAAAACAAAGGTCATCTTATCTTGTGAACTCAAGTGGCTCCTCTGCTCATTTTGCCCAGAATTCCCTTTGAAAGCACTGCCACCAATAATCCCACTTTGTTCCCACACTATGGAGTGTGGCTATACTTGATGTTTGAATTGCCAGCCCATCTTGTGTTTTTTTAATCAGAGAAACATGTATGAGTCACATTTAAATTTCATACCCAGGAAAGCTGTGTCCAGGTTCTGCCTTACAGCCTTCACAGACCATAGCTCCACTTTCTTATCCTTTACTTTCAAACTAACTACAGAATCCTATGGTGTATCATGAGCCTGACATGTTGAGAAGATCTTAGTCAGTAGTCAATGAGTTGGATTGTCCCTGTTCTGTGTTGCTTGTGAGGGTAGGAAAAGAGAGCATGCTTATGTTTGAGGAAGTTTCTAGAGCACTGAGAGGTCTGGATTTCTAAACCAAATGTTGATTAAGTCCACCAGCAGGTTAATGAAGTTATTGGAATTCTTTTTTTTTTTCCTCCCCGTATCGGGGTTCGAACTCAGGACTTTGTGCTTGCCAGGCAGGTATGGTGCCACTGAGCTAAATCCCCAGCCAGTTATTGGAATTCTTGTAACAGTTGCAGGTAGAGCTTGTGACAAACCAGGAGATATTTGACCGTAGACATTTCTGCTGCTGTGAGAGTCATCTTCCTGGGTTCAGAATTAAAAACATATCAAGTGTAGTATGCTTTAGGGGTTTATTGGTAGTTATTAAATGTGGCAGCTAGGCTTATTACTCATGTCATAAGTAGAAATGATTATGATAGAAATGGTACTTTCATGGCAGTTAAACACAATTTTTCTACTTTTAAATAGTTTTATAACATGCATGCATTTTTCTTCAAAAGTGTATTTTGTTATTAGAATAAAGCTTTTCTACTACTTTATCCTTAAGCACAACATTTTCAGTCTGCCACTTTAACCCTTAAAAATGAAACACTACCAATCAATCTTTCTAGTCTGCATGTAATTGCCTAAAGCTAAAATAAAGCTTTTTCTCAGCAAGTTACAGTAGAAATGAGTTAATATATTGGCAGCAGAATAACCATCAGCAATCAGCCGTTAGCTGTTTACTAATGAACTCCCAGATGAATGAAAAAATTTTAGAATCAGTGTTTTACTTCAGGCTGTACATGAACTTAACACTTCAGTTGTAGGAAAAGGAACTTATATGCTATACAAATAAATGCTAGTGCTTCTGCTCAACAAATTGCAGATCTAGGAAATATTTGGAGTTCAGTTGTAAATCCATGTTTTATAGTAAATGTGCTTTTGGGTGACATCAGGTAAAGCTTATTCTTGCAGTTAGTCTTATGCTGAATTTTATGATTTGATTTTATTTAAAAATAATTACTGATTCTGTTAAGTCTTAAAAGAATTTCAAATATGAAGAATAGGTTATTTTCTAGTGAATTATGACCGAAAAGAATGGTGAAGTATGAGAGTAGAATGGTTCAAACTGTTGGAAAAAATTGGTAAGAATTATCATTTAGAAAGAAAGATATCCTTTTTTCAGACTAAATGGACTTATAAGAGACTGATACACTCTTATTCTTCAGTACTAATGTCATAATAAGATGATGTCAAAAAAAAATTGAACAAAAAAGTGTCACAAAGGTATAATAAAACCATGGAACATAAAGTTGTCACTGTAGTATAGTAAAAAAAAATCACATTATATACTTTAGGGAATGTAAATACTTTTAGAAAAGAAACTGTCAAGTGATGAGATGACAAAGAATACTGTCAATCTAATGACAGTTCATATATAACAACAGAGAAGATAGCTTTAAAATTGAATGTGCTGTACCATTTTAGACTGAGAAACAGAGCACATCCCTTCTTGATTTCTCATTTATCCTACTTACAGATGATAAGGACTCAGAACTGCTGAAGTGAGTACCCAGAAGGAGTAAAATGGCAGTAGAAATACACAATTGAGTTTTCAGTGTTGTCGAGTAATGGTTAAAAATAATTGTCATAGTTTTCCCTCTATTCAGAGTTGACTCTCCTAGATTCAAAGCATAGAAGAGCTAGGAGAGGCTGTGCATGGTGTCTAGGTCAGTCTCCTGATTGGGAGAAAACACAGGGAGGTAGCTGTCCAGGGTCTCATCTTGTGTTCTCATGGTGCCAGGTCTTCAGGGCTCTGGTGTTTGGTCACTACCCCCCTGCCCCCTGCAAGTTTCTAACATTGAAGAGCAATTTAATAAATACACAAACACCTCAGTTTTTAAGTATCTGAATACTTAATGGTTCAAGGTCATATGGAGTTTTTGGAATTTATTTTGTTTTCATATACTATTCAGCTATGCTAATTAAATTACTGGCAAAATAGAGGCAGGCATCTGTGTCCACTAGATACTTTGTTCTGTGAATTAATTTATAATTGTGTGTATGAAAGAGATGTTAAATTCTTTATTTTCTTTTTTCTCTGTGCAGGTTTCAGCAAGCAGATGGTGGAAATTCTTCACAATCATAATATTCAGTTTAGCAGTTTTGATATCTTCTCAGATGAAGAAGTTCGGCAGGGGCTAAAAACCTATTCCAATTGGCCCACCTATCCTCAGCTTTATGTTTCTGGGGAGCTAATAGGAGGACTTGATATAATTAAGGTTAGAAGTCTATGCCTTGTAAAGAAATTCTATTTAGAGCAAATCTTTTAAAATATAATAAGTCTAAAACACATATTTCTTATGAACTTACACATTTACTAATATAAACCTGGAAAAACAGCAGTTCTGATGATTTGATCAGTAATTCTACATTATAATATGATGGAAGAGATCTATGTTAATAAATGTTTCTTAAATTGATGTATGTGCTTATTTCAGGAGCTAGAAGCATCTCAAGAATTAGATACAATTTGCCCCAAAGTTCCCAAATTAGAAGAAAGGTAAGTGTTCTAAAAGTTTCAAACAGACTACCATGTAATATTTTTATTTTACTATTTCTTTTGCAGTACTTGGGATTGAACCTGGAACCTTCATACTGAGTTACATCCACAGCCCTTTTTTATTTTGAGACTGGGTCTTGCTATGTAGTTTAGCTGGCCTTGAACTCACTGAGATCCTCCTGGCTCGGCCTTCTGAGTGCTGGGGTCATAGGCATGTGCCACATGCCCAGTTCCCTGCCCTTTTTAAAATTTATTTTTTGAGACAGGGTTTTCCTGAGTTACTAAGTTGCCCAGGGTGGGCTTGAATGTTTGATACTCCTGTTTCAGTATCTCCGAGGGCTGGGATTATAGATATTTGCCACCATTTCTGACCCATTTATTATTTAAAAAAAAAATTTTGAATCCTCAAGATTTTGGATTGTTCTTTCTATATGGAAATCAAAGAATTAATGTTTGCCTACTGGGAGTCATAATTTTGTTGTTTGCAGATCATGCAAACTTGGGAATCTCTAATTTGGGCTGGAGAAATTTTAGCACCAATTTAGTAATTGTGTAGAGGATATTCTTGCTTATATGGAAATACTGTTTTAGTGGATTGACCAAGTTTTGCTTTCCCCTCTGCGTTTGCGAGCCAAAATCCCGTTGTTTTAGTTCTTGCTCATTGGCATAAGCGCACAGCACATGTGTATTTTCTTGTGTATGGCCTCCATCCTACATTAGAACCTTGAGTGTGAAAAGCTGATATTATGTATGTGTTATACTTTCCAACTGCTCTGAGTACTTGTCCTTGTCTTGCTAAACAAGGATAACTTAGAATTCAATTCAGATTTTGGAGCTGTGAAATCTCTATTTCTTTTATGGAGTAATCTCATCTGTAGGTAAGGTTATCTTATAAAAATTTTGGACTGGTGTGTAGGAAGACTTTAGGGACATTTATTGTAATACCCACAAATTTATAGATTTAAAAAGGAAATTTATTTTAAAATACATCAGAACATCAGTCATTCTTAGTTAAGGCTTAGATTTGTAAAATAAGCCTCTGTAATTTTCTTGCTATTTAACATTTTGAGGATTTCTGAAAGTGTTTAATAATGAATACCTCATTTGTCTATCCGTATTTAATAAAGTAATCCTAGTATGTCAAATTGACATTTAGTGACACATTTTCTCACATGATTTGTACCCATCCTGCCTTTTGAATGAGAAAGTGGTGTTCTTTTTGTTGACTCTTTGCTCCCTTGTTCTTTCCTGTAGCCTGGTGATGCCCTTGGCTCTCAGAGGCTGTGCAGCCTCCAAAGCGGCTACGCTTTTTATAGCGTAGAACTGGCTAGAATTATATAGAGGAAAGCACAGTACATTTTGAGTACTCATGTAAAGGGCTTCTATGAGCAGTTTGTGGATGCGTGATGCATATTTTGACAGGTCTGTGGCCTGTGGTTTTCTGGATCTGGGTGATTGGGTCACTGGGTAAGCGGTCAGGGCCAGCATCAGGTTTCTGTGACTCCTGCCATTTTCCTGAGAACAGGCTAATCATCCTCTGTTGGGAGTGTAAGTGATGTAGCCTTGCATATATGATTCCTGCATTTCATTTGTGGCCACTCTATAAGGAGATTGAGACATGAATTGTCATGGCACTGGTGAAATGAAAACATGATAGTGTGACCCATTGTACCCTCACTGATGTTTCCTGAGATTTGTGACTAAATTAAAGGGTAAATATAGATGGTTAAAATTTCTGACAGGAGTTAGGTTGTGATGTTTGAAAATGGTATGAAATATTGAATAAAAGGTTAAAATGAGAGCATTTGATTTTAGCAGCTAGTGTTAGTTGATGTTCTAAGATTTAATGCTTTAACCTTCCAGGTCTGTCCTTAGGAGCGTAGTGTCATGATTGAAAATCGAACTCACGGATCTAGTTCTAGAAATTCTGGATGGGCTCGATAATATAGGTCCCCTATTGAACAATTCCTTACTGAATTGGTTATTATTATTTTTTTTAGTGCTGTGAGTTGATGGGCTTAAATTGCAACTTGAAGGAACATTCGTTGCCTTAAAAGCTATATTGTGTTTTACAGTGGCTTAGGGAGAGAATGAAATAAAGGAAAATGTCAATGCATTTGCTTGTTTAATACCACTCAAAGCTGTGAACTATCATCCTGCTATCCCTCAAATATGCATGTTACTCATGAAATGGAGCAAAAATGGTGTTTAATAATTGAGCTGAGCCATTTTATATCAATTTTCTCTCTTCAGGCTCAAAGTGCTGACAAATAAAGCTTCTGTGATGCTCTTTATGAAAGGAAACAAACAGGTAAAGAACTCAAAAATGGTTTTATTTGTAATTTCTTTTGATGTTAACATCTGCAACAAGGGGACAGTTAAATCTTCTTTTCCTAGCTTTAGCTAATGAAGCTGTGGTGCTATCAGGAAGTTATCCAGGCCTTAATTGGTGCTTATGGAGATCAAACAAAGTAATCTGCATTTTGCTTGACTTCATCATCAACATCTCAGCAGGGTGCATTTCTTTCTGCTGCCAAACTTTGTCAGCTAACATGGTCAACACTATTAACACTTTGCTGGTTCTACAGTATTAGTTGCTATTCCATTACTCTTTTGTTTTAGTGTGTGAACTACTGCAGTATACTTCCTAAGTGTGGGGAAAACTGGTAGTGCATGGGTTCTTGCTTCTAAATCATTGGGTACCCTGGACATGACATATGTGCTCCCCGTGTGTTTGGTGAATGAGTAAAACTATCCACAGTTCTCATCTGTGATGGGATGATTCTTGTAGCTTTTTTGATGAAAGTAATACTGATTTTGCATCAGTTTGCATATCAAGTTTGATAGATCACTCCCACTGATAGTTTGAACAGAGCTATCTTGAAGTAAGATTGAAAAGGAAATTTCCAAAAACTGGTGGTAGTCATTTATAATATATTTTGCTTAATTCTCTGCTAATTGTTCAGTAGACTAAGCTGGGCAGGATTTGGCCTATTTTGTGATGAGGAAATAATGATTTGAAAGGTGAGGCTGATGGAATGAGGAAACCCTAGGTTTTAGACAAAATGCCTTGGCAGGTGACTTAACCAAAAAAGCTTCACTTTGCTGTTTTTGTAAATGGATCTAATAATACTTCATAGGGCTGTTGTAAGAATCAGGTTGCTGTAATGTGTGTGGAAGTTAATATTACTAACCCAAGGAAACTCATTAATTAACAACTAATTAATATAACTAGTATAATGAAAGTAATAAGATAGATAATGTAAATTTCAGCAAGTTGAAATCACTGTTAGGTCCCAGATTCTTTGGCTGGTTTATTATACAGTATTTTAAAAAATCAGCAGAAGAAAAGCTGAGTGTAACGGCGCACAGCTATAACCCTAGCATTCTGGGAAGGTGAGGCAGTTCAGCCCAGCCTGGGTAGTTTAGTGGTTCAGCAAGATCCTGTCTGAAACTCAAAAATAAATAAAAATGGGCTGGGGGTGTAGCTCAGTGGAAAGGCCCTGGGTTCAATCTCCAGTATCCAAAAGAAAAAGAAAAAAGTTTCTTTACCATCACTATAAATTATATAATTATAATAAATTATATAATAATATAAATATATACAACTAATTATAGTCTGTAAATTATATAATTTGCAGTAATGATAGACATTTTTTTTTCTTTTTCTGGGCCCAGGGTACTAGGAATTGAACTGGGGATTTTTTGCTGAGCATCCCCAGCCCTTTTTGAGACAGGGTTTCATTAAGTTGCTTAGGGTGGGGTCCAATTTGTGATGCTGCCTCAGTCTCCCAAAGTGCTAGGATTACAGACGTGTTCTACCACACCCAGCCTGTTTTTCTTCTTCATGACTATTTAAAGCAGATTTTTTTTATTTTTGGTACTGGGGATCGAACTCAGGATCTTTTGATTGCGAGGCAGGTGCTGGAACCACTGAGCTAAATCTCCGTCCCCTAAAGCAGATTTTTATTCTCAACATTTTGATTTTTTCTGGAAGCCCAGAAAGATTTCATATATTTTGTAAAACATATTGTTGGAACTCGTGAAATGTTTATGTGGTATCAAAACATTTCCATTGGGATATGTAGTTTATGTGGCCTGAAAAAAAGCATTCCATAACCTCAAAAAAGTTTGGTTCCCCTATAATATAAAGATAAAATATAAGAATAGGAGTTGTAGTCCAGGTTGGAACTTGAAAATTATAATCTTAATTATTGCAAAAAGGTTAAGTATTTAAGATTATTTTGTATAAATTAGGAATAGAATTAATTAAGTTTCTATAGACAATCTAGATTTGATTTAGGGAACTTTTTGAACATAAAAATTATAAGCTACTAGAATACATGCCACCTTAAGAGGTTACAAAGCGAAGTAAGCCTGTGGGTTATATGTCTGCAGTGAGGTCTACAGTGGGTCAGTCCTTGAAGGAATGGGAACAGGACCAGCACCAGGAAAAGAGTTAATGTAGTGCAGCTACAGTGGACAGGTGCTCTCTGGGTTGGCAGCATTTGGCATGGGTGACACTGAACAAGTGCTACATTGGTTGACAAAGCATTAACTACAAACATGACAGTTGGGACGTATAAAATATGAGTTTCTTTTTAATTTAGGAAGCAAAGTGTGGATTTAGCAAACAAATTCTGGAAATATTGAATAGTACCGGGTATGTAAATCTTGTTTTCAAATAGTATATTTAAAAAATTCCAACGTTCCCTGCCACTGATGTATTTTAGTTTTAATACCTGGATTGATTTGTGTTTTTAAAATATTTATTTTTGCTGTAATTTTTTTTTCTATAATGTTTTGTGAATGCTGTGCTTTAGCAAGTTAGAGCAAAATGGAAATTTCTGGCCATTGTTCTCACCATGCAAATATATACTATGGAAAATGTATTACAGGTTGTTTAAAATTGTTTTTTAAAACGCACTTTTTAAAACAATATCTGAGGGCTGGGGATTTAGCTCAGTGGTTCTGGTGCCTGCCTCCCAAGCGCAAGGTCCTGAGTTTGATCCCTGGTACCAAAAAAAAATATCTGAAACTGATGGGCACACGTTAAGGTCTGTTACCTGGATCTGAGAGAGGAGACAAATGAATTTAAATTCCGGCATATTTTTATTCCCAGCTGCTTTTGATCTGCTTAGTGATGAAGCTGCTAGGTGAGAACATTGCTGCTAATTTTTGTGGTTAAAAACAAAAGCACTTACTTGGAGAGATAGCACATATTTTGTTATGTTTGTTAAATATTTTTCACTTATTTCTCTTATATCATGATTGCTTTTTAAAATTATAAAATTATAATTAAAATTATAATTTGCATTCTAATTGTACTTTAAACTAGATTAGATTATCCAAACCTATGAAGTCATAGGGAAAATAATCTTCAAAGTATTTCATCACTCAGGCAGGATTGAAAGTAGTCAATTGAGCAACATAGACTGAATATAGTTTTAGAGATTAAAAGAAGAAAACCAGTTAATTTCACATTATTGTGATAATTATATAGAAGAGAGTATATTGATTGTAATTATGATCTCAAGCCTGCTCCATTCTTACCCCTGTTGTGGGCTGTTGAAGGAGAGGCTTATGTGCTTTTGGTCATTTTTATAGGCCCCTTTCTTGGCTCTTTAAGAAAACTGTGCTAACTCCTCATTTAACCCAGTATTGCATAGATAAAATCCAGAAGAATTTATGTCTTGGGAGGATTTATTGTGTATAGTACCAGATAGATTAAGGAGCAGAATCATTTCCATTGTTTTTTGTTAACAATAGTTTACTTTTCTTTACTATTTAAAAAACACCAAATAAGTTTTACAGTTTTTATTTAAAACTGTATTTTCCTATTAAATTATTTTTTCTTTTTGCAGTGTTGAATTTGAAACATTTGATATATTGGAAAATGAAGAAGTAAGTTCTGGTGTTTGTTTTGTCCCTTGTTCAGCTTTAATTGTAGGGTCTGGTAGGAAGCTTTCAGCATTCCTTTTGTTTCTTTAGGTTCGGCAAGGATTAAAAGTGTACTCAAACTGGCCAACGTACCCTCAGCTGTATGTGAAAGGGGAGCTTGTAGGAGGATTGGATATAGTTAAGGTAAAGTCTGTTCATCTTCTGTCCTCAAGAACTGAAAAGCTTGGGCTGGGGATTTAGCTCAGTGGCCAGAAGGTCCTGAGTTCGATCCCTGATACCACACACACAAAAAAGCAGAACTGAAAAGCTTGATGTTTAGAAATTATGTTGAATGGAAACCTTGAGGTTGTCTGGCTATTTTCTCCAGCCTCAAATTCAGCATTTTCTGCAGCAGTATTTCAGTTTCCGTGTGTGTACTATCTCATCCTTCCCATAGTCCCTGCTGCATCCGACATAAATCCCCTTTTACCTGACCTAGTCTGTGGTCTCCTCTGTCACTTGGCCCTGTTCAAGACCTCCTCACCTCCCAGCCAGCTGCCAGCCATTGCCCATCTATAGCTTGGCATTCAGGTGACCTGAAGCTTTGGCCAAGTTTGCAGCATTTTAATTTTATTCACATTGTACTAAATCCTACAGAATTTTTTTCCATATTTACCTGTCTTGTAGCCTTTCCTTTAAACCTTCCTCTTACCTTTGGATTTTCTTATACAGTCTATAATTAAATCTGTTTTCTCCATTCATCAAGACCTAATTTGCCTGTAAATTATAGATTCTTGCAGCCAGAAATGTCTGCCCCTACTCCTCAAGTTTTTGTATGTTTTTATCTTTACATTATTGTAGTTGATTTTTACCTCGTGCCATTTCCTTTCTCACCCTCACCTGCATGGTGTGAAGATGAAGGGTCCCAGAGGCCACAGACAGGAGGCTGGAAGCCTGGAAGCTGGTCCAGTGCTGCCCCCTGTGCCACATTAGCGGCAGGTCTCTGACCTCAGGTGCGAGGACCTGTTAACTATTAGTCTGTAAGGATGTTTACAGAAGATACTATTTCTTATATATCCTGAATTCCTCCTGTTACTCTTTATAGTTTAGTAGCTCAGTCAGTGGCGGTTGAATGAAAGACTTTAATTTTCTTCTTTGGTTTGCTCTAAATAAATTCTCAAGTGTGTTTTAAATGGACATGATTTTTCTTATATATTTAATGTCTAGAACTTAAGGCAACCCCAACTACTTACTAGCACCTGTATGCTTCATAGCTCTTTCGGTTAGTAAGCCCAGGCCAGTAAAGGAAAGTTGTAGCTTTGATAATCCCCCAAACTCTCCATCCCAGTGCAGTAACCCCTACGCAGTGTAGTTAAGAGTGTGACGGTAGGAAGTTCAGCAGAGGCCAGGCAGAAATGCCAGTTCCCTAGGATGTGAATTGTCACAGCAGGTGGGCTGTGGAGGCCCTTTCAGAGCCTGAGATTGCCCTCAGGCCTCCCTCCTGCCTGCTCAGTCAGAGACTGTTCTCTGAGGTCAAGTCTTCAATGTTTTTAATGGAAAACAAGTATAGTAGTAAGTAGTGCTACTTCTAGTTGTAAAATAAAGTTTATAACACATACTTTTATGACATGAAGGAATGCCAGACTCACACTAAAGTGACAACCAGCACTTTGGACCAACATGTTTTGTAAAGTCAGTGCTTGAGCTCCATCCTCCAGAGGTTTTCTTTGTCCTGTGATTGCATCTGTACAGGCTTTGTTTCCTGCCCAGTGCCAGGTTTGATGTCACCTCTGACATCAACAAGCCAGTGAGGGCATTTTTCTTAGTAAATGGACCTCATTCCTTGAAGGGGGTAAAAAAATTAAACACTGTATCTTTTGAATAGCCGAGAAGCAACAGAAATAGACCTACATTTGTTATTTATATATATGTATATAGGTAGCTATCTATATATAGATGTCTTATTTTTGTAAGACACAAACTGTCTTGAAGCCCCAAATACTCTTGAGCCTGTTTCTTGTCTGAATGTTTTATAGCCTATACCTTAGCCATTTGTAAGTCTTGGGAAGATACAATCAATAAATCTCATTTAATTCAAAAGCTAAGCTGTGTGGGTAACATCTTTTTAGATATATAACAGGATGTTATATGACTTTTTATGTTCACTTACTAAGAACATATGCATTTGGAAATTCGTGATATTACTAACATTTTTCCTTGAGATGATAATATGGAACTAGCTATTTTGTTACCATTTTGGTCTGTTTCTTGCAGAGTGCAGTCTTTCATGAGTTCAGTGAAAACCTGTTCCAATTTGGCTAATTCTGGCTGGCTTCTGTTGGAGCATTGAGTACTTTTTTTGTTGATCTATTGACTAAATGAATGAATTACTTTCAATAGCTCAATGACTTGGTCAATATAGTGTTCTGACAAAGATGGCTACTACTGTGTACTTAGTGAACTAATATTTCCTCTAAAGAGTGAGTAGCTCAACATAGCTAGCTAGCTCTTCAGAATGTTTGGACTTTAAAGAGTTTGTTGAGAGTGACTTGGAATGTTTAGATCAGGTTGCTGTTTAAAGTGCTGGCTCACGTGAATGATGCTGATGAGAAGCACTCACAGTGTGCTAGGCACACTGCTCTGGTGCATTGTTAGATGACTCCAAGAAATCCCCCAGTGGCCTAGGAAAGAAGGATTCTTGCCTTCACTTGGCAGATGAGGAAATGTGCACATGCATGGTAGAGCCATATATACCATTGTGCAGCCAGTAGGATGTTGATCTAGGTTTGCCTGGAGGCTGCCCAATTTCTCCACTGAGCTGTGGGGCCTACTTGTCTTCAGAAATTGTGCTAACAAAACTCCTGCTAGGTGTCTTGGTATATCAGGATGTCTATTTGTATAATAGGCAGAAGACCCCAAGATAGCACTGAAGGTTGTCTGGATTTTTGTATCACAGAATCAGCCATACAAAAGAGGTTGTGTAAATTTTAGTGGTATTGTTGATTGGTGTTTATGTTGCTTAGTGATAATCTGAAATGTTATATCAAATTAAATATTTGTTTTGAACAAGAAAGTCTTATTGGTGGCTGAAAAGTGCAGAATCTGTTCCATAGTTTGAATTAATTTGTAGAAGCTCTTTTGAAGCTTGTCTTTTTCTGAATTGTTAGATCTTTTTAATGATTTCTGGCTTTTACATTTTCCTGGTACTGTAGCTTTTCTTGAGGCATAGACAGAGTCCCAGGTTGTTTAAAATAGTACAGCCTGTTTACTGCCTATGAAGGAATAGCAGGAGTGGGACCAGAGAAATCCAGTAGGTTCACAAGGAAAGGTAACTTTGCTATCACATTACTTCTTTCTTCAACCTTGTATATCATTTACTTTGTTTTCCTTATTTATTGTATAACTTAAGTAGGGGGCTTCCGTGCTTTGCTCCAGTTGTTCTCTTTGCAAATGGTAAATTATTGGTATAAGGACCCCCCCCCCCCTTTTGGGTACCAGAGATCGAACTCAGGACCTTATGCTTGTGAGACAGGCGGAGGAACCACTGAGCTAAATCCCTGGCTCTACCCCCCTTTTTTTTGAGACAGGACCTTGAACTCATTGTGTAGCCCAGCCTGCCCTTGAATTGTGATCCTCTTGCCTCAGTCTCCCGAGTGCTGGGATTATTGGCGTGTACCACACCACCATGTCCAGTTGAAGAATTTCTTTTTAACTCTGTAATCTGGTAGTGTACAGCTGACCCTCTGTCTGTAGTTCTTTATATATGGAGTCAACTAACAAAAGATTTAAAATATTTGGAAAAGAAAAAGTATGTACAGGCCCTTTATTTTCTAAGCTATAGAGTATAGCAACTATCATTTACATTGTATTAGGAAAGTGTAAAGGAGGATGTGTGTAGGTTTATGTAAATGCTGCGCCATTCTGCAGAGTATCATAGATTTCTGTGCCCTTCAGGATTCTGGACCCAATCCCCTTATGAATACCCAAGGGACAACTTTATTATTTTTATATTTAGCCTGAGAATGTTGGAAGGCTTGGGGTTTTAATTCATTAGGTGTTTCTTTTGGGTCTGAAATGTAGATGTAAACTGGGATAGTTTATATGTTTTCATTTTTATATATGCATATACATTGATGTTATTTTTTATTTTTAGGAACTGAAAGAAAATGGTGAATTGCTGCCAATACTGAGAGGAGAAAATTAAAAATGTGAAACCTGGTGTACAGCTATTGCAAGACATTTAATTACAGTGGAGCAGTTCATGATTTGGTCCTCAGAAATGGACTAGGAATAGAAAAATGCTTCTGACACAGTTATGCTTTGTGTATTTCACAAGGTTGTGCTAAATAAATGTATGTTACATTTTTCCACCAACAATAGAATGCAATAAACATCTTAATTCAGTTAAAAATAATTGTGTGTGAAAAGTGTATCTTTGTAGTGTTGTTAAATGTTACTGTAATTAATCCACTTTAAATCTTTTTTTCTTAACATGTGGGCGTCTTATAGCAATTAGGAAAGACACTCTTACGAAAATGGAGAACGGTGATGGGGCACAGTGCAGCTTAGCATTCAGAACAACTCATGTGCCAGCCCAATGGCTCCCCTCACTGGCAAAAGGTCTCTTTACAGCTCTGGAAAAATTCTACTGAAAATCTTTTTCTGCTGGTATTGCTGAGCTCGGCACTGGTGAAATTGTGGAGGCTGCGCAGGAAGTCTGCCTTTCAGATTCATTGTCACATCACCAGAAGCGCATTACCAAGGAATATTCAGGAGGAAAGTGACTCCTCATTGAGTATGTTGTAGCAAGCACTTTTGTTAAGGTATCTAGAAGAGTGGGTGATGATGACAGCAAGAATGTATTGTCAGTTTGTTTTTAAGCATGACAACTTACCTTGTAATAACCATATTGGTTTAGCCCTTCATTCACGTAGGTCGAGAACATTCTGAAAATTTCAGCAGTGGTTTTGACCCTGAATCTTAGCGTGTTTGAAAACAAGAATTGCCTCCCTAGGCTTCATTGGAGAGGCGTTGCCTCTGTGGCTCTGTTTTTGACACCTGTGGCACATGTTATCTTTATTAAATTACCCGAGCCTGGGCAGTGGTCTGAGCCTGAGCTCATCTGAGCGGTGAAGGCTCTGTGATCCTTCCTTGTGGGAGGAAGTAAGGGAAGTAAGTTGGTAATTTAGGTAAATACATCTGTAACCCAGCACCAGAGTTCTGCTGTGGCTGCCTCTTGGCTCAGTCTGTGTCCCTGCTCTTGGCGGGCGGGTGTACTACCGAGGGCACTTTGCACAAGTCAGAAAAGGTAGATGTCCCCTTCTTCCCTACCAGGAGTTAGGGTGCCCATCATGGTAGATTTTCTTTCTGCTCTCTATGGATAAGTCTCTTAAGCTTTTTTAAAAAATTAAATTGAAAATGATGTATAAATAAAACTTAAAATGCAGATGGAAGTAGAACTTTGAAATTTTATTAGGGCATTGGTTTTAGGGGGTTTTAACTAGAGGAAGGATTTATAATTATCTTGCATACTTCTACCCCAAATTATTTGCCTACTGGATTTATTTATGTATTGGGTATTTCACTCATGTTAGGCAAGTACTCTACCACTAATGTACATCCCTGGCCCCTAAGTAGATTTTTCACCTTATCCAAAGTAAGAATACCTTTGCCGTCACAGATTTGTTAAGCTGATTTTTCCCCCTGTAACGTACATTTGAATAAACAAAATGCATAACTTTTAACATAAGTGTGCACCTCCAGTTTGAGAAGCACCATTGTGGTCAGAGGCTCTGCTGCTGTCACATGGGCAGCTAGGAAAGCTTCCCTCCCCTTGATCAACTCTGTGTGTGACACCAGGCATCAGTGATGGCCTCCTGGTGGGTCACAGGTCAGTGTGAAAGTTTGTGTGGGTTGCCATTGTGTCCTGCATGGTTTAGCCTTTATTCCTCTTAAATTGTTACTGGTCCCATTTACTCCAGGTAAGTTGGGGTGATGGTGAGCCAGATGTTTCTGCCCAAACATGGAGATGTCAAGAAATCTTATTTATGCAAATTGATGGGCATTCTAGCCTGATTTTGTTAACAATATTTTAGCGAGTAAGATTCTGGGCCCGATTAAATTTCCTCTTCAAATTTTCCAGTAGAATAGCTTGTGAATAACCTTATAGTTGAACCCGCCCTTCTATACTTGTTTTGTCAAAATTGAAATCTTCTCTGATCATCAGATATTACAGAGTTGTTCCCTGGCATTTGAGAAATCCAGTAAGTTCACAAGGAAAGGTGACTGTCATTTTTGTGTGATACTTTGTGGAGTGCGTGTCAAGGGAGGGGACTTCTAGGTAGGTAGTATGAGAGTGTTTAGCAAGTTTAGTAGTGGTCTGGATATAGTATATACAGTAGTGTCGTGCTTGGGGGGCAGAGACCCTGGAGCTGACTTGTGAGCGACTCGCTTCCTCACATCCTGGGTGTGATGGGGAGCTCATCACCCCCAGGCATGGAGGTGAGAAGGGAGTTAAGTGTAAAGTGCTTAGAGCATGTGGCACTGGAGCAGGTGCTCAGTGGAGACATTTGCCACTATAGCTTTAGTTGCGTGTGTGGCATTAAGGTGCCTTATACCTGAGATAAGAAATTGATGAAGTCCCTTTTGGTCCCAGGAAATAAAGTCTCCATAGGAAGGATTGATTGCCCTTCTAGAAGTGGCTGTTAAGTAGGAACCATAGGGGCCCTCACACAGGGAGGCTTTTAACTCCTGGCTTGTGCCTGGATGCAACTTTTTTGTCAGGGAAGAGTTCTTGAGAATTTGTATTCTCTTAGAGAAATACTGCAGGAATGGAATTTTTTTAAAACTTTGATTTTTGCTTTTTGTTATCACAGAAGAAAAGCCAGTGAATGAGGCAAAGTAGGTGGTGAAGACTCTCTTTGTAGGTGAGGAATTAAGGGAGATAGATAACTTGCTCAGGGACACAGTTGTAGGGATAGAGGTAGTATTTCTGTCTGGGGTTACTGGGTTTGACTCCCAGATCTGACGTGCGCTCCTCCCGGGAGGCCTTCCTGTCAGAGATGTGTAGAATTCAGTTGCCTTTATATCCATGAAAAGAAACTAGTTGAGTCCCTTTTCAGTGCATCAGTCTCTGACTCAGCCAATACATCTTCAAGACTGGATGACTTTGTAAAGTCCAAGACTTTGGAGCCTGCTTATAGGTGAATGCTTCAAAATGTGCTAGGATAATGTAAATGCCCCTTGTTAAAATAATAGGGTCAAGTGGGTTGGAGAGCTGCCCTTGGCTGCAGGTGTCAGCACTCAGGTCGACACAGGCTGCATCATTAAAAGTCCAGGCCTTGTCTGCCCCAAGAAGGAAGAAAAAAAGTCATTTGCTGTTTTCAGTCTTTACGAAAGTGTTTATTCTGCCGAGTGGAATGAGCCTAATGTTTTAAAATAAAGCATTTTTTTTATAATTAATCATTTTAATAAGACTGCATTCTAGTC